GAAGATCAGGAGGGGGATGTAGCTGAGGATTATGATAGGGAGGAGGATGCTGACATCCCTGTTGTCGCTGAAGATTTTTATGATCCTGAGGATTACAGTCAATTTGGAAAGATTAAAGACGAGGATGAGGAAGAAGATGATGAAATTTGTTTTGAAGATTACGGAGAGGCATATGGCTGTGAGGGAAAAGGATCATCTGTAGAAAGAATCTATGTAAACCAGAGTTTTACTAGCAAGGATGCACTGCTTTCAGAGTTGCGGCTGAGCGCGGTGAGGCGCAGGTTCTCCTTCAGAATTTACAAGTCAACAAAAACTCTCTTTGTGGCAACATGTCGGGTTAGTGGTTGTCAATGGAAGATCAGAGCAAGTGTAAAACATGGGACTAAGACGTTTTGGGTAACCAAGTATTTGAAAACTCATACATGTTCCACCGGAGAAAGAATCGCTGGGCGGAAACACTCTACTCCGAAGTACATTGGTCGACTCTTCATAGATCGTGTTGGAATCATTGATGGGTTGAATCCGCAGCATATCAAAGATGCAATGAAGAACATGTTTGGCATGACACTTGATTACACCACTTCATACAGAGCATTGTTATATGCGCAAGAATTGGTGAGAGATCCGCGGAAGATGGGTATGAGCGACTTCCTTCATATTTGGAGCAAATCAAGGCAACAAATCCGGGTTCTATCACTGCTATAGAATATGATTCTGAGAAAAGATTTAAGTATCTTTTTCTCGCTTTTGGAGCTTCTATCAGAGGTTTTAAGTATCAGAGAAGGGTCATTATGGTGGATGGGACTCACCTAAGTGGAAAGTATGAGGGTACTATGTTGGTTGCAGCCGCACAAGACGGTAATTTTCAGATATATCCATTGGCTTTTGGGATCGTAGATTATGAAAATGATGAATCTTGGGAATGGTTTTTCACAAATTTGGCGAGTTGTGTATCTGCTGGGCATCCTCTGGTGATAGTCTCTGACAGGCACACAAGCATTATAAGTGCATGTGAGAAGGTGTTTCCTTGGGCAACACGAGGAATATGCTATTATCACCTTCAAGAGAATATTGTCAAAAGTATAAAGGGAAGCATCTTTTGTACTTGGTGAAAGGTGCTGCTTATGCTCATACACTTTACGACTTTGATCGGTACATGGCTGAGATACATAGTGCAAATCCGGATCTTCATGAGTATCTGGTGGATGCCGATGTGAGCCTATGGTCAACGGTTCATTTTCACGGAGACAGGTACAACTTAAAAACGAGCAATATCGCTGAATAAATTAATTCTGCACTGAAGCGAGCAGGAGGGTTTCCTATTCAGTTCCTGTTGGAGTTCATAAGGGAGAAGCTATGAAGATGGTATTGGAAAAGGAGAGGAGATGCGTTGAGTCTTACAACTCAACATAGTCGAGGTGTTGAACACTTGCTTGCTGTTCGCGAGGAGATCGCAGATACTCTAAGAGTCCAACAAATTGATGGATGGAAGTTCTTTGTGAAAGGTGGCCATAGAGACTGCAATGTTGATCTAGAGCTTTCCAAGTGTGATTGTGG